CTGACTACATGAACTTTGAAGGCCAGAGAGGCTTCAAACTCCTGATCCTCTGTTGCTTTTCTCACAACCATCTTGTGCTGGTTGGGGCTGGTTATGTAACTGCAGGCCAGGCTGCAGACTAATGTCCGGTCATGAAAGCAGACTAGCTCTGAGTTTCACGATTTTTTTATTCTCATGCAAACTTTTATCTCTAATCAATATTTTCAATTTTTTTTTTTTTAGTAGGTTGCGTAAGATACATTGAACTGAAGAGAAGCAGAGTAACTGTTTTATGCTACATTACCCTTTAAGTCTTACTGATGAAATGAACCTCACCATGAGTGAAACCAACTACAAAACAAATGGATCACCATTTCAACAAGGGATGAAACTAACATCAAATCATTATAAGTTATTATTTTTCGTCAATTGACATATTATCTTGTTAAAAATTGTCAAAAGTAATATCAAGAGCTCAAAGTGATGTCTTAAACTGACTGTGTTGCTCAACCGTTCAAAAAGCTTAACGTAATCTATTACAATGGCATGTAACAGAGGAGAGCGATTTTATTTCCTACATTTACAAGAAGTTAAAACTATAAAATGTTAACATGACTATTACAATCTATTTTCAAAGATATCAGACATTGATTCATTTTCAGTCAGTGAAATGACGAATCATTTCAGCTCCAAAGTATCCCATTTAGGAAATAATGGACTTCATGGTAAAATCCCGTTACAATATCTTCTATATTGCTGTAACACCTGATCATACATCATCACTTATATATGGCATAGTTTTACTGATGGATGAAGATGGAGATTGCATTTTATTTGAAAAGGGAAGCTGTTTTTTTTGACATACACAATTAAAAAATGTCTCTGAAGGCTGTCGTATTTCAGTGCGAGCCACGCTGAAACGTCTGCATGTCTCTTTAAGATCAGCCTCGTCAGATTCTCTTGGGAGTGATGCTGCTGAGAGCCGGAGAAAAAATGGGTCATGCACTCATAGGTGAAAGTCCCAGAAGGAGGGGGGGGGAGAACTACGAAGCAAAGGGAGGAACTGTCAGCTCTTCACTGCTGCATAATGTGTAGAGTCAGAGCTGGGTGTACATTGACATGTCGAACAACAACATCACACTGTTTCTTATTGTGGCATGATGTTGTTTGGGTGAAATGCTCACACTGTGTGGCCAGTATGTCTGGTTTGTCAAAAAGAAAAACAGCTTTATCAGGGCAAATGATGGTGTCGTCTCCAATTGGACCATAACGATGAACAATCCACCGCCAAACAACATACTATATCCTAAAATACTAATGGCAACACAGCAGTGCTTTTAAAAATATCTATATCTATATATATAGATATAGATATAGATATATATATATACAGTTGTGTGAAAAAGTGTTTGCCCCCTTCCTGATTTCTTATTTTTTTGCATGTTTGTCACA